CTGCTTCTGTCCATCACTGTATCTGGGCATGGTCCACACCGTGTGTCATCATCATAGAGTGGGCAGAATAAGGAATCTATGTTTCTGATGCAAAGGTTACCACTGATTGCAACTTGGACTTCTGATAAAAGATGACACATTCGTCTCAGGGAATGAGGCCACACTGAACAAGTGTGGCTTCTGCCCACTGCTGACATAGTGATTACGTTGGTCTTTTGCTCCTCTCAGGGGTATTGGTGGTGCTTCACCATTGTTGACACTGTCACCTTTGGTGTTACTGGTCTAGTCCAATCAACTGACTCTAGCCATACTCTTGTGTCCCTTAAAACTAATCTGTCATGTTTTTGGCATTCTGGAACATTTGCAGTGTGACAAATGTACTTTTTATTGCGAAAGCCACTTAGCAATGGGCTAGTGGCCAAGGGTACTCAGGACTTCTTGTGCTAACTTCTACAGTCCTCTCAAAAGACTATCTTACTTTATATCCCTCTCTTGCTCCTAGTTCATATACTTTAATACTAGGTATTTTGGTCATTGAATGTGGCTGTCTCTAGAAAGAGATCGTCTCCTCTTGACCACTTCCTAGATAATGATAAAAAAAAAGGGGGGGGGTGGCAAAAAAAGGGGGGGGTGGCAGGTGGGGGTGTACATATAAAATGATGGGTGAAAATCCAGAATGCTATCCTGGGCATGATGCTTCTTTCTTTTCTCTAAAGGCAATCACAGGTTGGCCTTATTGGTACATTATTTAAGCTTTCCCTACCCAGTTTGGCTCAGTGGATAGTGTTGACTGTTGACTGAAGGTTCCCAGGTTTGATTCCAGTCAACAGCACATGACCGGGTTGCAGGCTTGATCCCCAGTAATGTAATGTAGGAGGCAGCCTGCGAATGCCCACGCTGGGCTGCAGTTGCGAGTGCCCCACATTGGGCTCCCAGTTGCAAGTGTTCCCTCCCCATGTCCTGCATGGTTCAGGGTTCGGGTTCTGGAGGAGGCCGCACACAAATGAAAGAGACTGGACAAGAAAATATTAATTTGGGAATTTGGGGCTAGGCAGAAGCCCAAGAGAGGACTCTGCTCTGGCCTTGCCATCCTTTTTATTCAGGTCTGGGGTACACTCATAGCCTTTAGGCAGGCAATTCCAATTAATAGCTCAGTGATAGCCCATCAGCAAGGATTTAAGAAAGACTAAAAGGTGGAAGTTGCTTCAGCTCCCTTTGTCTCAGCTAGACAGTAGGTGCATGGCTCTGACCTTTGCCAGAGCCTCAAGCATGACTAGCCTTCCAGACTCCTTGTCCACCCCTTTCTGCTAGTGAAGGCAATGGGCAGCTTCCAACAGCAGCCCATCAATGATTCTCTCTAATCATTGATGTTTCTATCTATCCCTCTTCTTTTCTCTCTAAAATAAATAAAAATATTTTTAAATATATTTTATTGATTTTATACAGAGAGGAAGGGAGAGAGATAGAGTTAGAAACATCGATGAGAGAGTCATCGATCAGCTGCCTCCTGCACACCCCCCACCGGGGATATGCCCGCAACCAAGGCCCATGCCCTTGACCGGAATCGAACCCGGGACCCTTCAGTCCCCAAGCCGACGCTCTATCCATTGAGCCAAACCGGTCCCGACAAATAAAAACATATTTAAAAAAAAGATTTAAGCTTAATTCTGGTTTAGCTGCTTGGATTCTCCTGTCATGGTCCTAGTGGGTAAGGATAATGATTGAATACATTGCTCCCTTAGTCCCTTATAATGGCCTGTGGTGGTCCAAATGAGGGCCTAATGGCTCTCAAATTTTAGAAAAATGTCCTTATTGCTTTTGTGTTTCATCATTATGGACAAAAGGTCTGGGTGAAAGTGAACTTATAACTACAGGAATGGGACATACTGGTTTTTTGGTGGTAGAGGTAAGCTGTGTGTCACTAGGGAAACATCTTGGACCTCAGGAGGCCTGGGAGAGGGTGAGACATCATGGTATTCCGTCTTTCAGAGCTGTCCCCAGACCTTTCCTCACGAAGGAAGACACTCAGGTAAGGTTCTCTTGAATTAGCAAACATTACATTTAACTGGCTCTATCGTCCACCACATAGCTCTCTGATCACAGTTGATTGCCATTCTTTTTTAATAAGCCAGTTCAAAATGGCAGGGTAGCTCAGTTGGTTAGAGCATCATCCTGATATGTCAAAGTTGTGGGTTCGATCCCCAGTCAGGGCACATTGCAAAAATCAACTAATGAATGCATAAATAAGTGGAACAACAAATTGGTGTTTCTTTTTTCCTCTATAAAATTAAAAAAAAAAACTTTAAAATATGGGGACTGTCCCATCTCTTGTACCTCCCATGCAAAACATCTGTCAGCATCTCCAAATATTCTTCCCATCCCTACTCCTGTAGTCTTCACTAGTCATTCTGTGGAGAGGATGAATGCCATTGGACAAACAAGACAGTTTGGACTGCCTGCTTGTAGGCAGTCCTTCCATAAAAAAGATTAGACTTAATTATTCAAATGAACTAGGGAACCTAAGGCTTACCAACCAGCTAGCAAGCCACAACAGAGGCACTGTCATCTTGTGCCCTGTAGGGAGCAGCTATAGGGTTAAGCCTTTGACTGACCTGTTGGCAAAGCCACAAGTCCCAGCTTAGAGAGCACAGCCCTCTTAACATAATTAAGCTTGACCTTATGACACCCCCTAGATCCTATCTGGGTAGCTAATGGGGTGTGGGAGGTGCAGCAAGTGCTGCCAAAACAAATGAAACAAGAACATTGTAACTGGTGACCACTACCTTGTTTACCTCTGACTATAAAATAAAGCGTCAGGCCCTAAGCAGTTTGGCTCAGTGCACAGAGCATTGGCTTTCGGACTAAAGGGTCCAAGGTTCAATTCCAGTCAAGGGCATGTACCTTGGTTGTGGGCAAATCCCCAGTAGGGGGTGTGCTGGAGGCAGCTGATGTTTCTCATCCATGTTTCTAACTCTCTGTCGCTCTCTTTTCCTCTCTGTAAAAATAAAAATAATAAAAAATATATTTTTTTTTAATTTTTTTTTTTTTTTTAATTTTAAAGGCTCAGCTTGCCATTTGGAACTTTCTCTGTGGCCTTAGCCAGGCACAGGAGATCCACCTAAACCCAACTTATTCTGTCTTTTCTTCAATCCTTCGCTGCCCCCTGCCTCCCTCAGGCTCACCAAATCCTTGTCTGTGCTGGCCCAGCACATATGGTGCCCAATTGATATAGGTCAGATTGATTGCAGGGGGGAGGGGTGGGGTGGGGAACACCTTCAGTAATTAGAAACATTTTCTTTCCAGGTGCATCATATGTGCCCCAGGACTGTACTTCTTAGGTGGATATCACAAATAACCACAATTCTCCTCCTCTTGAAAAAATAGTGGCTTGCACCTTAGGGATGGTAATAAGAAAACTTCAAGTGTTTGAGGAAACACCATCAATAGATCACACAGCCATCAGACCACATGTAGAACTATCTAAAATGAGACTGCCCTTGATTACTTGGAGAAGTTTCTGAGGGATAATTTACTTATTTGTATGTAACCTGGGAGGGGGGGTTATTCCTATGAGAACCATCCAATTAGAAGAGGCAGAACAGAATTTGTCCTCAATTTAGCTGAAGAGATCAATGACATCACATTGGCCCTGGAAGGTATTCAAGTCAGCCTCAACTCACTGTTCAGGGTTATGATTGATATAATTGCCCTAGATTTCCTCTGTGCAGGCCATGGCAAAGTATGTGCAATTGCTAATACATCCTTCTGTGCCTAGATTAATGCCTTGGGCCACGGTGATAAGTCAATACAGAAACAATACCTAGGAAGCAGCCAAAGTAGACCCTAGTGGTGTATGGGACCCTGGGGAGCATGGTTATTAATACTGCAGTTTGGCCTCATTCTGCTATTGGAATTCTATTGGAAGCCTTAAATGCTCTATGAGACAAATACATGTGTGCTGAATAAATTTGTCCTCTGAAAACATTAGATTTGGAGTTTTACACAAGCAGGGAGTGAAGACCAACATTGACGTCATTTCAAAGTTAGAATTCTCAGGGGGAAAATATCTTCCTGTTTATTTGTACTCATATTAAATGGAAAACATTTTTTGAACTATCTTTAATGCCACCTAAAGTCTGAAATAAAGCAGTAACTTATTTTATATAAGAATATTAAAAGAACACCTCAGCTACATTGAAGAGTTGGGCGGGACTCCGTTTCTGCTCAGACACTTTGGGAAATCAGTGTTACAGAAAATTCGGGGTTGCTTGCGCAGGGATGTCAGCATGGGAGTGGAGGCCACAGTCAACCCAGGTGGCCCTATCACTTGAGCAAAAGGGGCTGAGCCGCGGGCAGGAAGCCGCGGCCTTGGAGCGCTGACTCCATGGTATTGCGCTGTGTGGCCTCAGACGCCTACGACTTTTTTTGGGGGGGGGGGGGGGGTGGAGGGTTTATGAGGCTCTTTCCTCGATTAACTTAGCTTCCAACAACCGAGCTCCAGACAGTAAGATCAAGCATTTTAAATCTCCCAAGTAAAGGAAAATTAAAAACCTCTCCAGCACTCCTTAGAGACGCCGGTCCCAGCGGCGACGCGGAACCTAGCTTTGGTCTAGGGAGCCCGGCGGCGCGCTGTATGACGTAAGGGGGCGGGGAAACGCCCTAGATCGCGAGCGCGCAGGCGCAGCCACGGCCGCAGCGCCCAGTGGGTAAGCCCTTTCTAGCAATTTCGCTAACTGTGAAGTCATCCATGTGCGCCGCGATAATGGCTTCCAAAAAACCTGAGAGTTTATTTTTTGGTGAAAGGACTGAAAATAAACGGACCTCTCCCGCCCCACTCGGCTTTTATTATTCTTTCGCTCTGGCTGTGCCTACACTGACTCACGGGAGAGGGGAGGCAAAGCCGCGGTGGCTCCAAGCCCGGTCGGCCCAGCGTGACTGGCCGAGGCCGTCAGCTGCGTTACCCGACATGCGCCGCGCGGCGGCGGCGGCGGCGGCGGCGGAACGCGGGGGAGGGGGTGGGGAGGAGGAGGAAGCGGCGGCGGCGGCGGCTGCGGATGTCGCTGCGACCGAGCGGCGTCTGAACCTACCGCGGCCTCCGAGCGCCCGACCCGGGCCTGCGCCGGAGCCCACGCCCAGCTCTGCCGCCCCCTCGCCCGCCAGGGCGGCCCCGCGCCCCTAAGCCACTGAGGCGGCGCGACCTGCGTCCTCCGTTGTCCGGGCCCCGCCGGGCTCTGGCGTCTGCTGGCTCCCCCTCGCTCGCCTGCTCCTTCCTGAGTCACCGCCGCCGCCATGGCCGAGAGTGGTGAGAGCGGTGGCCCTCCGAGCGCCCAGGACAGCGCCGCCGCGGCCGAAGGGACCGGCGCCCCCGCGGCGGCCGCAGCTTCCGCGGAGCCCAAGATCATGAAAGTCACCGTGAAGACCCCGAAGGAAAAGGAGGAGTTCGCGGTGCCGGAGGACAGCTCCGTCCAGCAGGTGAGGGAGGGGATCGCCCTCGGCTCGGTCCGCGTGGGGGTGGCGGCGGCGGGACCTCTGCCCGCGGCGGGGGTGGGGTGGGGAGGTGGCTTTTAAAGGCCCGGGCGGGGGTGGGGGGGTCTTCCCCGTCGTACTCTTCCTGGGCTCATCCCTAAAGAGATCACACCCCACAGCCGAGTCTGTGGGTTTGCTCCCTGGGACGCCGCCGAGGTTTGTGGCGGCGCCTCGCGGCCTGTTGGTGGGACGCGCCGACACCTCTTCCCTCGGCGCCTGACGCCGTGGCCTCCGCCGCCCCCCGCCTCCGCCCCCGGCGGCTTCCCCGCCGCTTCCCGGCGGCCCCGCACAAAGGAGGGGACCCGCCGGCCGCGGGGGGGCAGGCTGCGGCGGGGTTCCCCGTCGCCCAGTCCCCCGTTTTGTCTCAGGAATAAAAAAAAAAAGGGGGGGGGCTTATTGTTTTGCCTGCCCGAGGGGTAAGGTGGGTTTTGAGGTGAGAAGCACATGGACATTGAGTTCTGCGTTTTCACGGCTGCATCTTTCCCATTCTTTATTATTATTATTTATTTCTAATTTACTATAACGTAGAACTTGCTTTAACCACATCTGAAGGGATCGTATCAGGTTTCAGGAGAAAGTTGGATGGACACTCATTGATGACTTGGTGTTTTCTTTGTAATCTATCATCCCTCAGATGCCAATCATTGGGTAGGTTTTTGTTTGATTTTAGGGGGAACGGTCGCTGGCGTTACTCAGATATTAGCCGTTGCAATCTAATTAAAAGACGAAAACAAAATTGGAGTTAATGGAGAATACTGCCAAATAATTTACAACTTAAAATTTGTTCAATGTAAATTTCACAATTAATGAGGAATCTCGAATTCAGCAAATTGTTTTTAGCATATTGTTGAATACACCCTGGAATATTTTTTCCATAATTATTGTATTGAACTCTGGCAGTTTCAAACATTGTGAGCAGTTTATGAGGAATCAATTCCTGAAATGGACATATTACTTAGGGACTGTGATTGTGGTATTGGTGTACATGGTTCTAAAAGATGGTGAATTTTGTGAGGTTGTAGCGTGTAGCATAAAGTGAGAGAAACTTTTACCACCTACTGAATCACCATATTTTTTGGTCTTAGTTTTGCTCTGAAAAATTTAACATTTTTATATTGTCCAACATTCAGGAAAATTAAAAGTTGGTACCCACATGTCTTTACCTACAATTCGTGTTTTGCTGTATTTGCTGTATTACACAAATAATTTATCATCCCATTTTTTATTTTGAATGCATTTCAAAATAAATTGCAAATACATGGTCCCCTTAAAGAACACTTCAGCAATGTGTATATCATTAACCTGAGTTCAGTCTTTTTATTTATTTACTAGAGGCTGGTTGCATGAAATTTGTGCGGGGGAGGGGGCGTCCCTCAGGCGGCCTGCTCCCTCTCACTCCTTACCACTGGCTTTTGGCTCCTTAAATGCTGCCAAGGAGGTGGGAGAGGTTCCCACCACTGCCCCTGGGCTCACCAGCCATGAGCCCGGCTTCAGGCTGAGTGGCACTCCCCCTGTGGGAGAGCACTGATCACCAGGGGGCAGTTCCTGCGTTGAGCGTGTGCCCCCTGGTGGTCAGTGCGCATCATAGTGACCAGTCTTTCCGCCGTAAAGGTGGCTTAGGCTTTTATTATATAGATAGATTTATTGCTATTGTTTGAGTTTCCACAAAACTGTGTAATCTAAAGCTTTTTATTAAGATGTAGGACTTTATAATTGACTAGAAAGTTATCTCTTAACCTTTCCCAATCAGTTCCACCACTCTCCCCTCCATCACCCACTGTTTAAAATTTTCTTCACTGTTGGTTAGTTTTGCCTTTTCTAGAACTTCTCGTAAGTGTCATCGGGTAAGGCTTCCCCCCCCCCCACTCAGCATAATGATTGAGATTCATTCTTGCTGTCTCCTACATGCCCCCTCCTGGGGATCGAGCCAGAAACCCAGGCATGTGTTCAGATGGGGAATGGAACCATGACCTCCAGGTTCTTGGGTTGACACTCAATCAGAGCCACACCTGCCAGGCTGTAGTTCCTTTTTTATTGCTGTGTTGTTTTCATTGTATAAATATACCAAAATTTATCTATTATCCTGTTGTCAGTTATGTGGGCTGTTTTCAGTTAGTTACTATGGACATTATTTTACAAAACTTTTTTTGACAAGTGCTTTTATCTCATGATAATTACTTAAAGATGGAATGACTAAATCAAGTGGTAGAAACCATGTTTGTGCTATTTTACAATCCTACACAACAGTGTGTGGGAGTTTCTGTTGCTCCACATTCCTGCTAACACTTGATAGTGTCAGTCTTTTTTGTTTTATTATAGTGGGTGTGTAGTCATATTAATTTTGAAGTCTTAGGTCTTCTTCCTAGGATTCCTAGTTCAGCTGTTATGAACATTAAATATAAAAGATTAGAAAGATCCAATATTCTATAAATAGAAAATTTGATTTAAGTCAGTTTATGATATATCTGTGAGGCTTTTTTTTTTCTTTTCACTTTTTGTGATAGTGAAATTAGAATTTTAAAATTCTGTGGAAATTTTAAATTCACTCCTCTGTAACCAAAATAAAACTAGTAGATAAAACTGAGGCCTTTCTGAAGCAAATTTTTCTAATAGCAATTAAATTTCATTTTTATTTTATTTTTTTAATTATTTTTATTTTTTTAATATATTTTATTGATTTTTTACAGAGAGGAAGGGAGAGAGATAGAGAGTTAGAAACATCGATGAGAGAGAGTCATCAATCAGCTGCCTCTTGCACACCCCCTACTGGGGATATGCCCGCAACCAAGGTACATGCCCTTGACCGGAATCGAACCCGGGACCTTTCAGTCCGCAGGCCGATGCTCTATGCACCTAGTCAAACCGGTCCTGGCTAAAGTACTATTTCTTTATATGAATACATTTTATTTTTATTTTGAGAGCATATTTATTAAAACGGGACAGTGAAACGAAGGGCTTAGGATAAAAGAAGCAACAGGAGACAGCCTAGGTGGGTGCTCTGCCTTGGCTTTCTAGAAATGAGGTAGGAAAGAAGTGAGCCATGCAGGGCTGCTATTTTAGCTCACTGAAAAGTTAGAGAAAAGGGGGCCTTGGAGACATGTTCAAGGGGTAAGCCTGGGATGAGTTGCCGCTGCCCATTGCTCACTTAGTTACAAGTCTTGCAAGTCTCTTGAGGACCCTGAGTTTAGGACAGGAAAGTAAACATGCATGCCTGAGAGGGAAGAAAGGTGTGGGAATGCTCCAGAGATAGCCCTCTCAAGGTGGTTTTATTAATTGGGGTTTTCATAATGTAAATAGATTTTAAAAAGTTCCTGTGTATGAGCTTGTGCTTTCTTTTACTTATTATCTGAATTATTGGAAACAGTCTGAGGATTTCCATGTGTCAACAAGCAAGATGAAGTCCAGAAGAACGGGGGCGCGTGTGCGTGTGCGTGTGCGTGTGCGTGTGCGTGTGTGTGTGTGTGTGTGTGTGTGTGTGATTAAAACTAGTGCAGAGAATGGAAGGGAGCTTCCATGTAACTTCTGATTAGCTTTTCTTCGATTTTTTTAGCCCTCCAGATTAAAGTGTAAAATTTTGAAGTAGAGTTAACTGAAACACTCAGGTAACATGCATTCTAGTTTTACAAAACGTCTTCATCACTTGAAACATTTAGAAAAATAATATATTTAACATAACATATAATAATATAAATATTGTAGTGAGTAGAATCGAGCATTTCCTAATGGGGGAATTGCGGTGCCTTAGGGTCATTATCACAAGCATCATCTACCATTATAGTGTGGGTGTAGGACTGCATTGTCCTCTGGTACCACCAGCTACCTCTGACTATTGAACATTTACAATATGATTGAAATGATTTAAGAGGTATAAAATACCAGATTTTGAAAAACTGTAATTGGCTTCTTATATGTGGCATGATGTTTTTAAGGTTCATCCGTGTTGTGCCATGTATATGAATATATCACATTTTCCATCATACTGGGAACATGTAGTCATTTTTAAAAATTATGATTTGTTAATTTTATAGAGAAGAACATCTGTGTAAGAGAGACACATCTTTGGGTCGCTTCTGGATTGTGCCTTGATTTGGAATACTATTAGTGACCTTTCAGTGCATGGGGCAGTACTCAACGAACTAAGTCCAGCAGCCAGGGCTGTCGTCATTTTAAAAAAAAAGAATGTCACCGAAACCTGTTTGGCTCAGTGGGTAGAGTGTCGGCTTGGGGACTGAAGGGTCCCAGGTTCGATTCAGGTCAAGGGCATGTACCTTGGTTGCGGGCATATCCCCAGTAGGGGGTGTGCAGGAGGCAGCTGGTTGATGACTCTCTCTCATCGATGTTTCTAACTCTCTCTCTCTCTCCCTTCCTCTCTGTACAAAATCAATAAAATATATTTAAAAAATAAATAAAAATAAAAAAGGAATGTTTATACGAGTTTATTATTTTTAAAAAGCATTTAAAATTTCTCAGTTTTAATTTTGAATGGAGCATATATCAATAACTATAGCCTACATGAATAAAAATTCTTTGAGGCTTTTTAAAAAATATATATTTTACTGATTTTTTACAGAGAGGAAGGGAGAGGGATAGAGAGTGAGAAACATCGATCAGGTGCCTCCTGCACACTCCCTACTGAGTATATATGTGCACACAACCAAGGTAAATGCCCTTGACCGGAATCGAATTTGGGAACCTTGAATTCGCAGGCTGACACTCTATCCACTGAGCCAAACCGGTCAGGGCTCTTTGAGGTTTTTAATTTGTAAGAGTGGTATCCTTCAGTGGCATATTTATTAGTTAAGTAGGTGTTCATAAGATTGAGGATTGACTCCTCTAAGTGGCCAATGCCTCTTGCCTAGAAAATAGAGTACCTACTGCTCAGTCTCACAATTTTTCTGCCCCTCCCATTCATTCCTAGGTCAATCTCTAAAAAAAAAAAATGTTAA